CAATCCCTATCCCCAAGTCCACTCTACTATGTGGCCTTCGTTCTGGGCTCCTGTCATGACAGTAATACCTAATCATATATACCTTTTAAACAGTTTTCTCTCATCTGTTTCAATGCAATATACATAATTTATCCCATCTTTCTCAGTCTCCCCCCCAACTCCTACATCAGTGGCACTATGCAGTATTTGTCCTTTTGTGACTGAGATATTTCACTCAGCATAATGTCCTCCAGGGTCATCCATTTTATATCATATTTCATGAGTTCCTTTTCTTTTTTTTAATTAATTTTAATGAAAATTTACAGAGATTTTGGTTTACCATTCATTCATTGTTGCACTTTTCTCCCTGCCCACCCCTCCCCGCCCCATACACTCTTCTCTTTGAAAAGTAAAAGAAAAATTATTTTATTGTTTTACAATCCCTCCACCCAGGTTCACTCCACTATGCAGCCTTCGTTCTGGACTCCTGTCATGACAATAATACCTAATCACATATCCCTTTTAAACAGTTTTCTCCCTCATCTGTTTCAATGCAGTATACATTATTTATCCCATCTTTCTCAGTCTCCCCCCAACCCCGATGTCAATCCCATTTTACAACAGTGGCACCATGCAGTATTTGTCCCTTTGTGACTGAGATATTTCACTCAGCATACTGTCCTCCAGGGTCACCCATTTTGAATAATATTGCATGAGTTCCGTGTTTTTCAATGTAACGTAGTATTCCGTTGTGTGAATATACCACAGCTTCTCTATCCATTTATTTGTTGATGGGCACTTAGGTTGTTTCCAACTCTTTGCTGTTGTGAACAAAAACCACAATAAACATGAGTGTGCATATATCTGCTTGGGTGACAGTTATGATTTCTTTGGGGTATATTCCAAGTAGTGGAATTGCTAGGTCAAATGGTGCTTCTTTTTATTAAATTTTATTAATTTTAATGAACATTTACAGAGATTTTGGGTTTCCATTCATTCATTGTGGCACTATTTACCCTCCTCCCCAGTTCATTCCTCATTTTTTCCCCCTTGAAAGTCTGTTTTAATTGTCCAGTTGCCACAGTGCTTGTCAAAGCCAGTTCTGATTAATCTCCTTTGTCATTGTGTCCTTTGCCATTTCCTATCACTCCTCCCTGAGAGAGACTTCACCCTGATTCATAAGGAAAAGGGGATGGCGTATTCTCTTAGCTACTTCCTGCTGAAAAGGGATGCTGTGGTTTCAGGGTTCAAATGGTATTTCTATTTGCAACTTTTTGAGAAAGCGCCATAATGCCTTCCACAGTGGTTGCACCATTTTGCACTCCCACCAACAGTGAATAAGGGTTCCAGTTTCTCCACAACCTTGCCAGCATTTGTTGTTTGCTGTTCTGCTAAATTTTGCTATTCTTACTGGGGAGAGATGACATCTCATAGTTGTTTTGGGATTCAGATCTAACTTTGTTTTCCTGACCTGGTCTCTGAAAACTCTGGGTTAGTGACTCCTATCCGAAGTATTTTCTGCCCTGAAGGTATCTAAAATAAATAGATAGTTCTTTCTGGTTCTTTTTCTTGAGGCTTTAAAGTAGGAAAACATAGAAAATAAACATAGACTTTTGAGTGAGACAGACTTAACTTTACTACCTACAGCTTTGTGTACCTCAGCTTCTCTTGAGTTTCCCCATTAGTGATCATTTAAGGTGTTTTGCATGTGTGTAAAGATTAGCTGCAATATTAAGCATGACTGGCCCCTGTATAGTTAGTACACTGTGACTAACAAGGGATCAGTACATGTTGGTTTCTTTCTTCACCTCTTACCTTCTCTGAAAAACCATTTGAGAAGGAATTAGTATAGAGATAAAAAAAGTACTGGCCTAGTGGTATGAAGTTGTACTGCAACCACAGAGGCAAGTGATTCAAATCCACCAGCTGTTCCAAGGGAAAAAGATGGCAGTCTCCTCCTGTGCAATTTACTGCCTCTGAAAACCTGCTGAATGATCGGCTATGGGTGGTTTCAAGTCAATGGCACCCAACAACAACATAGAGAAAAGTGGCCATCTTGAGCAGAGTGTCCAATCTTTCATACTCACATGTGGATGATGGTCATGGATACTATCCCTCCCATTACACTCTCTACTTCTCTGCTGAACTTGATAATTCCTTATAATGGCTACACAGAATGGACAGAAAATGTAGAATTCTTTTATTATTGGTTTTATTTGGGAAATAACAAGTTAGAATTCAGGAATGCATGGGATACAGTTCTTTGATCAAAAGATTCTCCCCGCAGCCATGCTCAAAATCAAGTCTCTGGCTGATCAACCTCCCAGTTCTGCAGTCCCTTGGCCTCTGCACAGCTTAGGCAAGTGTTAAAAAGTTCTGTTAGCTCTACTAGTATAAATGCCCACTCTGCCATTAAGCTTTGGTTTGATGATGCTTAGCCCTAGTTCTTTGGTAGCAAACTTAACTCCACCAAGTGTCCACTTGCGCTCCAGTCCACCGGCAATTTTCCTGCCAAAGATGCTCAGCTTTCTTGCTTTGTAGGCCCAGAAGCTCACTGTGCTATTATCCCAGTTGTGCTGCTGTCCCCATTTCTCTGCTACTGCTTCTTGATGTCTCTTGCTATCTGCTCTTTCAACTAGGTGTTACAGTGCTGTCTGTCTCTCTGTTTCCTGAGTGCAAATCCAAACCTTAAATCCAACATTTTTCATTCTTGGCTCTTCTTTCTTAATGGTAGTGAGATAGATTCACATTTTCTATCTATGAGATGATTTATTCTAAGCCCAGTAATATGACATTCAAATTTCTACTCTAGGAGAAAGTTCTGTTAAAACTGAGGGCAACCCTTATGTCTTTCAGTATCTTAGCCCCACCCCTGTTTCTCTTAGTTCCTTGGTGCCTTTTATGTGATCTCTATTTTCCTTATTTTTAGTTATCTCTATGTTTTTGCCACTTCTTGTGTCACTTGTTGTTGTTATGTGCTCCTCAAGTTGCCTGCTACTCATAGTGATCCTATGTACAACAGCTCTGTAAACCCTGCTCCCTCCTGTGCCAAACTTGTCTCCAACACATCTACCCCCATTCCCCCAGTCACTGAATCAATCCATCTCATCGAGGTTCTTCCTCCCTTGTGCTGTCCCACCACCCTCCCAAGCATGATGTCCCTCTCCAAGAACTGGTCCCTCCTTGCAACATGTCCAAAGTATGTCACACAAAGCTTCAAAACCCTTGCCTCCAAGGAGCAATCCAGCTTCACCCTCTCTGGTTTTACTCTCTTTAGGACAAACCTGTTTTTCTCTCTTAGTGTATGGTATATTTAGTACTCTTCTCCAGAACCACAGTTCAAAGTTTGTAGCACTTAGAAGTAATATAGTGTAGGTAATGTAATGCATGTAATATAATATAGGCCACAAACTACATTGTATGTGCTCATTAACATAACAAAGAAAACCCTATTGTGGTTTTTCACAAATCATAGTATATAAAAAAAAATCCATTGCTATCAAGTCAGTTCGGACTCATAGCTATCCTACAAGATAGAGTAGAACTACCTCATACCATTTTCAAGGCACTAGGTAAGAAGCTGCATTGCAATCCCAAAGGCATTGGTTTGAATCCACCAGCGCTCAGAAGGATAACAAAGGATATTCTCCTCCAGTGCAATTAACTGCCTCTGAAAACCTATTGGAGGGTCAGCTGTGGGTCCATTCCAATTTGATAGTATACAACAACAGTCTATGTAAGCAGCCTGCTACTTCTTTCTCCCAAAGATTGGCTGAACCACTGACCTTTCTATTAACAACTTAACATGTATCCACTGTGCCACCTGGCTCTCTTCCACAAGTAGAAGAGGCTAGGATTCCAAGATGTATTTTCCTCCGAGTGTGTGTTTTTGAGGGACATAATTCAGTCCACAGTAAAGTGTAAGTATGAGAAGTTACATATTAAAAATTAGTACTCTGTCACACAATTTTTATGATTTAATTATTGTTTATCACATTACCTATGACATACCTTACAATTGATAGTGACATAGAAATGTTGCAGCATTTTAAGATTGCTGCTCTAAAAGCATCTGTTGAGATTTAACACCATTCTTGATACTAACTCCCACCTGAGCCTCAGCTTTCCAAACAGTCTCTAATACAATTATGAAACTCTGAATTGGGAAACCTGGCTGGGGCTATTTTGTTTGAGCCATTAGATAATGAGTTTTGTATGGAGATGAGAACTGAGATGCTTTCAATGGAGTTACCTGTGGTACCTTTTCTATTCATAGGCTTTTATATTGTTAATTCTTGGGCTCCTCTTGGATTCCTGTTTTATTTTCTGGGATCCTCTCTTAGGCACCATCTTCTTCAAGATGCTCTTTAACATGTTGCCTCGCACCTTTTTTTTTTTTAATTTTATTATTTTCTTGTGTGTATGCTGTCAAATCAGATCTTACTGGTACAGGAAGAGATTGCCCCTCCTTCAGCAAAGCATCTGGTGGATTCAAACCGCACACCTCTGGGATTGCAGTGCAACTTCTTGCCACTAGGCCACCAGAGCTCGCACTGCTTTCTTTCTTTCTTTCCTTCTTTCTTTCTTTTTATTATTATTATTATTAGTGTGTGTGTACCCTCAAATCAGATTTGACTGGTACAGGAGGAGGTTGTTTCTCCTTCTCCAGCAAAGCATCTGGTGGACTTGAACCTCTCACCTCTGGGATTGCAGTGCACCTTTTTGCCAGTAGGCCACCAGAGCTCGCCTCACTGCACACTTTTTAAATTAATAACCGTGCTTAGAAACACATTTGCTGTCATTTGCGGCAACGTGTTAACACACAATTCCTTTTGGACTCAGACCTCATATTCATATTCTTAGGCCTTTGCCTTCAGCTTTTCTCCTTTGGCTAACCAAATAAACTCATCTCCTTGTCCATGTTCATCACTTACTTTTCTTCAGGGAATTTATTTGGCTTAAGGGTAACCTCCTAGGCTTAGACTTGCTTTTACAGAGCCTCTACTACCTTCACTCTACAGCTTTGTCTCAGTAAAGAACCTCAAGACCCATCAGCGTCTCCCATGCTGCAGCCATCTGTCCTGGAGCAGCAGTACATATCAGGCCTGGACTCGAGAAGCTGAGCCAGATAAAGCGTTACCCCGAGAGCAACTGTTACTCATAGGCACACTGACAGATCTATCAGGGGACTCAGAACAAGCGTACAGGGATGGAAGCCTCTATGTGAGAGATAACACTGGTGTCCTGGGCTGTGAGGTGAGTAGGAACGTATCATATCATGTCTTAGAACTTGAAGAGAATGATGTCTAGTGAGCAAGGTAATGAAATCTCAGAAAATAAATATAGAGGTAATGGTAGATGGATGCTTGGAACTTGGTTAACCCTTGACCTTGATCTTTTCTAGCTCATAGATCTGGAGCTTTCTTGGTTGGGTCATCTCTTCCTCTTTCCCAGTTGGAGTTACCTCCCTCCTGCCAGTTGGAAATCCTCAAGGGAAGGCCACTTGGAACTCTGGGGTGCCCCTGTGTCAGTGTTCCCCTTGACTATCAGTCCTGGCCCTGCACCTCCTATTCCAGTCCTATACCCAGAGAATGCCTCCTGCCTGCTCAGACACAGGTAAGGCTTCCCTCACCAGAGGAGGAAGGATGCTCTGAAGCTTGGGAGAAGCCAATGGGTCAATGGAAAGAAAGGCATTAATTAATAGTAAAATAGATGGAGTTCCCAAATCAAGGAAACCACCGGGCTTCTAGGAATAAGAGCGATGCTCTTCAAGAGAAATATGCCCCTATCAAAGTGCCAGGAAAGTTAGAAAGAGGTTTCTAGAATAAAACTTTGGGATATGGAAGTTTTGCATCATTGTCAGATTATTCTCTTCATCAAGGAGAAGGCATTTGTAAGTAAAAGGGGAAAAAAGAAAAATGATCATTTCATCCCTCTTTCTCCCTTTTCTAGAAGCAAGCTCAGAGTTGTGCAGCCAAACCTGGCTGGTAAGCTGGTTCGGTTGAGTGCTTTGGTGAACAGTCGCAGGAAAGCTTATTTTGTCCTGTCTCTTGGTGGTTCACCTCCATCTGTTAGCCATGTGTCCATTGTCGTGCAGGTGAGGATGAAGGTTGATTCAGGGGCGGGAAGGTGTGAGAGGAGTGTTAGAACTCTCCGTGGGGAAGATAACATAATGAATGAGGAGGTCCACTCAGAAAAGGAAGGGAGCGAGGACAAGGAGTATTTTCTGGAACAGTGCTGCTGAGGGAGTGTTCAAGCTGTTATTCACTCTACAGAATAAACATCTCCTCTGTGCAATTCATTTGAGAAGACAGCTTTTATATTGTGTGGGAAACTTTGGACAAAGTTCCAGTATTGCTGAATTAAGAGGATGACCAAGAAAATATTCAGATTAGCACCAATGAGTGAGATGGTCAGCAATGGTGAGGATGGTGTGAGTTCAGGCAGGGTTTAGGCCTGCTGTGCATAGTTTGCGAAGGTTCAGGTCTGCTGTGAAAAGAGTTTAAAGCTGTGACCTTTCATAAGTATATTGCCAGCCCTATCTGAAGTACTTTTGGGTGAGTACAATTTGCCCACCTTTTGTCTAGTAGATGAGTACTTGATATGAGTTAAATTGTGTTACCCATAAGTATATTTCATAAATTCTAATCCCTGTATCCATATCCCTGTTGTTTGAATGTGTGATGTAGAAATCTAGGAAAAGTATAAGTTGTCAAAAATGAGATGGAGTCTTCTCTACCTCTTTACTTTTGGAGGACTGGCTCCTTCCAGAGAAAGATGTAGCTTTCCTAATAAAAATGTCTTTTCTTTCACCTTAAAAAAAAAGACAATTAAATAGAATGTACAAAGACTAATGTAGACATTAGTGAGCAGAAATGGATTGGCATTGGCTCTTTTGAATAGGAAAATCATATGGTCTGTTAGGCCAAAAATGAAAAAATTGAAGAAGAATGTCTCACATTCTTCATTAAGTAGGATTGATTTCAAGATCTATACTAAAATACAGCATTGTAATTGATAGAGTAAGTCCATAGGCCTACAAGAGAGACCCCTTAATATGACTAATCAGATCTTACCCACCAACCACTACTAATGTCAAAGATGAATAAATTAAAGATTTTTTTTAATAACTTTGGGCTGAAGCTGACCAAACATGCAATTAAGATGCACCAGTTATTACTGGTGAGTGGAGTATGAAAATTGGAACAAAAAGAATGATCAGTAATTGTAAAATGGCTTTGGTGGTAGAAATGGCACTAGATATTGCATGGTAGAATTTTGCAAGACCAATAGCTTATTGGAAGCACCTCTTTTCAACAACGTAAATAGCAGCTATACATGTGGACCTCACCAGATGGAATGCACAGAAGTCAAATGTATGGGATATATGGAAAGAGATGATGAAAAATGTTCAATATCATCAGTCATAACAAGGCCAGGAACCACCTCTGAAACAGACCATCAGTTAATTATTCATATGCAAGCTCAAGTTGAAGCTGAAGAAAATTGAAACATGTCCATAAGAGCCAAAATGTGACTTTGAGTTTATTCCGCCTGAATTTTAAAGACCAGCTCAAGAATAGATCTGACCAATTGACCACTAATTATTGAAGAGTTGTACGATTGCATCAACACCACCATACAGAAAGAAAACAAAGGTTGTTCAAAAGATTTAGAAAGAAGAAACCAAAATGGATGTCAGAATAGATTCTGAAACTTGTGTCAAATATAGAGTAGCCAAAGGGAATGGGAGAAATGTGAAAATAAAAAAAAATAAATAAAACAGGAGAGTTTAAAAAGTAGTTCAAGAAGACCAAGTATGTTAATGAAATGTGCAAAGACCTAGAGTTAAAAAACCAAAAGGGAAGAATATACCTAGCATTTCTAAAGTTGAAAAAAATTAAAGATAAATTCAACCCTAGAGTTGCAATAGTGAAGGATTCTAGGGGCAAAATGTTGGTTTAGGGAGGAGACATCAAAAGAAGACGGAAGAAATACACAGAATCCCTGTACTAAAAAGAATTGGTCACCATTCTCTCCCATGTTTCAACTTTCAACCAAACGACAGATCTATAAGGTGAACAATGATACCAGAGAGGTATGCACTCCTTACAAAGGACACACATATGAGATCAGAAAGTCAGAATTTGCCAGGGATAAACTCAACAGACAGGAAAAAAGAGCCAGTGGTCGTAGTAATCACAGGGAGGAAATGGGAAGAATGCTGTTACGTTGTGGGGATTGCAATCAATTCTGCAAAACAAATCATATGAATTGTTGAATGGAAAACCTATTTATCTGAAAACTTTCACCAAACCACAGTTAACAGTTGTAAAAAATTGTCAGTGTTTAGCCATTTCAGAAAATAGCATATAATTAAAAACTGATGATATCAGAGAAAGAATTCATAGTTACATAGAAGGTATTGGTGGAAAACAAGGCTCAGGAGTTGATGAAATACCCAATTGAAACATTTCAGCAAATAGATGCCACTCTGGAGGTGCCAAGAAATTTGGAAGACTGCTCCTTGACCAACTGACTGGAAGAGATCCAACAAAATGTAGCAATATTAAACTATCATTAATATCACATGCAATGAAAAATGATTTCAGCAATGCATCAACAGAGAACTACCAGAGATTCAAGCAAAAGAGGTAGAACCAGGGCTTTCATTGTGGTTGTCAAATGGACTTTGTCTGAAAGCAGGTAATACTAGAGAGATGTTTACTTGTATTTTAGTGACAATTCAAAGGCATTCAACTATATAGATCATGAAAAATTACGGGTAACATTGTGAAGAATAGAAATTTCAAAACATGTAATTGAGCTCACATAGAGCCTATACAAGATTAAGAGGCAGTCATTTGAACAGAATAAGAAGATACTGTATGGTTTAAGATCAGAAGTTGTATGCATCAAAGGTGTATTTTTTACAATACTTGTTCCATCTGTATTGTTGTGTTCTGTCAAGTCACCCTGTCCTAAACCAGTCTTACTGACTCCAGCACACCTACCTCCATTGCCCTAGTCACTGTATCATTTCATCCGGGGTCTACCTCTCCTGCGCTATCCCTCCACCCTTCCAAACATAATATCCTTATCCAAGAATCAGTCCCTCCTGACCACATGCCCAAGGTTTGTAAAACGGAGCTTCAAAATCCTAGCCTCCAATGAGAAATTTGGTTTCACTCTCTCCAAGACAGACCTATTTGTTTTCTGGGCAGTCCATGGTACGTTAAAAAATCTTCAGCACCACAACTCAAAGGCATTGATCCTTCTTTTATCATCATTAGTTACTATCCAGCTCTCTGATGCATAGCAAGTAATTGCGAAGACCATGGACTGGATCAGGTGCACCTTAGTCTCTAGACTGACATTGTTGCTTCTCTGTACTCTGGAAATGTTCCTGACAGCAGATTTACCCAATGCTATTTGTCTTGATTTCCTGACTTCTGGTGCCAAGAATGTTGATTGTGGAGTCAAGCATGCTGTAACTGTTTACAACCTCAGTCCCTTCTCCATTTCTCAGGGTGCTGCCAATTGGCCCATTGGAGAGAATCTTTGTCTTCTTGATGTCGAGCTTCAATCCATATTGAAGACTACAGTCCTTGACTGTCTGCAGCAGGAGCTTCAGGTTCACTTCAGTTTCAGCAAGCAAGGTTGTGTCACCTGCATAATGTAGGTTGTTGATGAGTCTTTCTCCAATCCTGATGCCACACTCCTCCTCATAAAGCTTAGCCTCCCTAATGATCTGTTCTGCATAGAGATTGAAAAGGTATGGAGACAGGATGCATCTCTGATGCACTCTCTTCCTGATTTTCAACCATGCAGTGTTTCCCTGCTCTGTTTGAGGACTGCTTCCTGGTCCAAGTATAGGTTTTGCATAAGCACAATCAGTTGTTCTGAGATTCCCATTCTCCTTAAGGTTAATCACAATTTGTTGTGATCAACACAGTCAAATATCTGAATACTGAGCTAATAATCCAAGAAGCTGAACTACATGAGGAAGAGAGCATCAGGATTGGAGCAGGACTCATTGACATCCTGCAGTATGCAGATGATACAACCTTTCTTCTTGAAAGCAAAGATGGCCTGAAACACTTACTAATGAAGACCAGAGACAGTAGTCTTCAGAATGGATTTCCACCTCAACAGAAAACAAAAGTCTTCACAACTGGACCAATAATCAATAGGATCATAAATGAAGAAAAGATTAAAGTTGTCCAGAATTTCATTTTAGCTTGGTCTACAATCAACTCCCATGGCAGTAGGATGTAGCAGTCAAGAAATATTATTTATTGCATTGGGAAAATCTTTTGCAAAGAATATCCTTATAGTATTAAAGAGCAAAATGTCCCTTTGAGGATTAAGATGTTCCTGATCCGGGCCATGATGTTTTTAACTGCCTAGTTTGCATATTGAAGGATTTGATGGGAAAAATATTGAATGATATAAGAAGTATCAGAAGAAGATAGAAGGAATATACTGTACTAAAAAGAATTGGTCAAAACGGAACTATTTCAGGAAGTGGCTCATCATCAAGATGGTAAGAGAGGATGAAGTTCAAGCTATACTGAATGCATTTGCAAAAATATAAGGCCACAGAAATTGATGGAAAACCAGTTGACATATTTGAACAAACAGATATGCAGCCCTGGACATGCTCACTAGCCTATGCCAAGAGATTTGGAAGACAGTTGGCCACCAATTGGAAGAGGTTCCTATTTGTTTTCAGTCCCAAAAACTAATCAAGCAGAATGTGGAAAATACCAACAATGCCATTAATATAATATACAAGTAAAAATCTAGCTGAAGGTTATGATAAAACAGCTGGAACAGTATATCACCAGGGAACTACCAGAAATTCAAGCTAGATTCAGAAGGGGCCATGCATAGGGGATACCATTGTTGATGTCAGATGAACCTTGGCTGAAAGTGGAGAATACTAAAAAGATGTTTACTTCTGCTTTTTTGATTAGGCATTTGACTGTGAGAATCATAACATAATATGACTAACATTGAGAAGAATAGGAATCTTGGAACACTTAATTGTGCTCATGTGAAACCTAAACAGATCAAAAGCTATTATCCGAATAGAGCAAAGGGATGCATAGGTTAAAATTAGGAAAAGTATGTGTCAGGGTTGTATCCTTTATCCATACTTGTTCAATCTGTATGTAGTAAATAATTAGAGAAACTGGACTTTATGAAGAAGAACGTGATCTTATGTTTGGAAGAAGACTCACAGAAGATGACACAATAATTGCTAAAAATAAAGAGGAATTGAAGCACTTGCTGCAGAAGATCAAAAACTACAGCCTTTAATATGGATTACATCTCAGTATTAAAAAAGCAAAAATCCACATCATTGGACCAATATGTGATATCATAATAGATGGAGAAAAGATTGAAGTTGTCAACTATTTCATTTTTCTTGGATACACAATCATCACCCATAGTAAAGTAGCTAAGAAATCAAAAGATGTGTTGCATAGGGGAAATCTGTTGTCAAGTATCTCTTCAATGTGCTAAAGAGTAAAGATGTTTAAAGATTAATTCATTAAAATAAATTTAAAATTGTTGTTGTTGTTGTTAAGTGACGTCGAGTCACAGGTGACTCATAGCAACCCTATGAAGGAGAGTCCTCAACACTTGCGTTTCTCTCATCTTCTCTCCAGGTTCATAGGGTTTCCGGAGGCAAGCTATTACGGAAGTGGATGCCACTCCTGCTTCCAAGCTTGTTTTAATTGGGGAGCTTCACCCCACTCTCTGTCTCCATTGGGTAACCAGCCGTTAATGCATTTGACACATCACTGTCACAGTGTTCAGCCTCACAGCAACCACAAGTTACTGCTGCACAGCAACTTGTACACCAGGGCTATACGACCTAGAGGAATGTCTAAACAAAAACAATGAAAGACAGGCCCGAGGGCCAGGGATTAAAAGTCACCCACCTTTGGCTTGGTAGCATAGTTTTCTGTCCACTGGGGCAGGTGATCACTCTCTATGTTGATGTTATTGTTGTTAAGTGCCATTGAGTCGCAGGTGACTCATAGTGACCCTGCCGCTCCTCAAGAAGCCAGAGGCCGCATGCAGCTGACACTAAATCTCCCAGGACTTTTAAGTTTTTCTTTTTTAAAAAAACAAAAAAGGATTAAGCTGCACCCGATCCAGGCCTTGGTCTTTAAACTTGCTTCATAGGTATCTGAAAATTGGACAAAGAATAAAGAAGACCAAAGAAGAACTGGTGATTTTGAGTGATGGTGTCGGGGACTGCTTAGAGGAATGGATTCTGAAACTTTGTTTCACATGCTTTGGGCATGTTGTCAGGAGGGGTCATTCTTTGGGAATAGACATCATGCTTGGAAAGGTGGAGGAGTCAGAGAAAGAGGAAGGTGGATTGACACAGTGACTTTAACAATGGGCTCAAGCATAGCTGAGATTGTGAGACTGGGGCAGGATAGAGCAAGGTTCAGATCTTTTGTTCACTGGGTCACTATGAGTCACGGTCAACTCAGTGGCACCTAAAAACAACAACATACATATGTGAACACTGGCAAAGAATAAGATGACCAAAGAATTAATGCCTTTGAATTATGGTGTTAATGAAGAATATTGAATATACCATCAACTAGGGGGAAAACAAACATACCTGTATTGGAGGAAGTGCACCAGAATACTCCTTAGAAGTGAGCCTGGATGTTATTGAATAGGAATAGGGGAATTGGAATTCCTGGAATGGGTATCAGGGTTGTTTTTTTTTTTCTAGTGGGATATTTATGTATTTGGGAGAAGTTCTGTCTTAGAAGAGGATTAGGAAATATTTGGGATGTCTTGGGAGAAGGGAGAAATTCTGTAAGTTCTATGGCTTGAGATTTAATTGGCAAACAGGAAAGGTGAAGAGACAGAGGGACAGTATGAGATGAGATCATGATGCAAAGAGATTCCTGCCGAGGGGCACTGGAGCTGTCTCATGCACCCCATTGTCTACCTCTGCGTATGCCAGATCCCCGCCCAGCTGGTGTGGCGCCAGGCTCTTTGGCCTGGTCGGTCTTATGTGCTTACCGAGCTGCGAATATCCAAGATCCGTGATTACCACCACCTTGTCTGGACAACCAGTCCCTCCTCTCGCCTGTTGCTGCTAAAACCAGAATGTGTGCGGAAATTGGAGCTGGAGCTGGAAGAACCCCTAGTGGAGACTGACCCTACTCCCCTCCCCGTGCCCAGCGACTCTCAGGACAGGAAAGGAAAAAGAGGCCTGATCCGGGACTCCAGTCTCCTGTCTTATGTGGTGAGTGGGAGGGAGAAACCTGGAGCTTCAGAGACAAGAAATGCTGGTCTCTAAAAAGAAGGGAATAATGGTCAGGCAAACTTTGTCCCTTATGCAGGGCACAGTCACCAATGTACTGAATGAACTTGCTGGCCTCTATGAGCTGGATGGGCAGCTGGGGCTGTGTGTTGCCTACCAGCAATGCCAAGTCTTCCGGCGGGTGCTGCGACCAGGAGTCTCTCTAGAGGTACAGCTTCTCTTCATGTTATTAAGCTGGTTTTTTTGTTTTGTTTGTTTTCTAAAAAATGAAAAGTGGTAAACTGTATAGAAAAAGAAATGAAAATTGAATACTACTTAAGGTATGATTTGGGCAAGCGTGAGGAGAGGACTTCTAGATCAGAAGGGTAGAATTTTGCACCGTGAGAAAGTGTTGAGGCCAGAGCACCTTTCACACTAGGGTCTTCTGACTGAAGGGGCAGACGAAAGGAACTGACAGACATAGGGTGTGGTAAGGAGCCTCAGCTACCAGAAGCCATCAGACTCGTAGAGAAATGGAGTGAAGCATGAGGGATAAAGGATTATGGTAGGGAGCATGTGGGCTCTAGTAGGATATGAGGCATAGAAGCTGGAAGGAAAGACTAGTTTAGGTATAGAAACTGTTTGTCTTGGATATCAAGCAGCTGGAGAACTGCAGTTAATTCTATGGAGTCATTGAGTTTGATTCTTTATCTCTGCCTTTTCACCTTCCCTACTTTTTTCTAGCTGCAGGATGTTCACCTTCTCCAGTCAGTGGGTGGAGGAACACGAAGGCCAGTGCTAGCTGTCTGCCTCAGTGGCGCCATCCTGGTTCGGGGCTTCTCTTGTCAAAAGCCCAAGGCTCAGTTATCCCACCATGGGGCCTCTCTGTATGAGCAACTGGTATGGGAACGTCAGTTAGGACTGCCCCTCTACCTGTGGGCTGCCAAGACCCTGGAGGAAGTGACTTGCAAGTGAGCAGGAAGAGGATTTGGCGTGGGAAGGGGTGGGACCAGCATATTGCCTCTGTAAGGCCAGCAGGTTCTTTGAAGAGATAGGGACAGTAGCTATAGCTTGGATTTTTGAGGAAAATGACAGCTTTTTTTTCCCTTGGCCAAGGCTGTGTCCCCATGTGCTGAGACATAACCAGCTCCTGCAGCATTCATCTCCTGAGAACCCCAGCCTGGGAATGCTGCTCCTGGCTCCAATCCTGGAAGTTCTGATGCTGCCAGGCAGCCCCATTCGGAATGCCCACAAGGAGATACTGGAAGAGCCACATCACTGTCCCCTCCAGAAAGTATGAGGAGGGAGGAATGATGGGTGTCTTGGTGAGGCATCGGAGGGGTTGCCTGGGGTACATAGGGGTACATAACGTGATTTCTGCTCTCTCCCTCTAAGTACGTTCGACTTCAGACTCCCTTCTCTTTCCCGGCTCTGGCCTCTTTGAAAGAGGAAGGGCAGTCCAGGGCCTGGGCCTCTTTTGATCCTGCAGCCCTTCTGCCCCTCCCTGAGGCTTTCCACCTCCCCAGCTGTCAGCTCAATCACCGGCTGGCCTGGTCCTGGCTCTGCCTGCTGTCCTCTGTCTTCCGTCCAGCCCAGGTAGGTGGGGCTCCAGCAGGGCTTCCTCATTCTTCCATCACCACTGTTACTGCCCTAGTTCAGGTCATTCTTGTGTCTTGTCTTTTTTTTAAAAAAAAAAAAACAAACCCAACTATTTGTACACAGGACAGAGCAAAGTTTAGGGCTGTTGTTTATAGGGTCGTTATGAGTCACAAGCGACTTGATGGCAAATAACAACAGAAAAAAAAAAGGCCAAATCAAGTACAGTTCAGTGGTGTTGACCATATTCACTTTTTATTCACTTTGTAGCTCTGATGTTTAATATGTGTTTGCCACCTAGGAAATCCTCGCTACTTATCTGTTACGTGACTTTCTTCTCCCTACAGGTTTTGCTTGGGGTTCTAACTGCTTCCTCTCATAAAGGCTGTCTGCAACTTCAAGACCTGAGTGGTTCCTTGCCATGCCTGCTCCTGGCCAGGGACTCAAAACCCATCACAGACCCTCGGCTCATAGGTCTGGAGTTTGGAAGTGGAGAGAAGATAGTGACAGGGTTGTGGTTTTAGAACCTGGAGAGTTGGGAAGGCTGCATCTCTTGGAATTTACTGAAGTTTTGCTCAAGTGACAAAATGTTAAGCTTCATCCTTTGATAGACATTTGATAGACCAGTATTGGTAGATAGAGAAAAAGAATAAGGGGTTCACTAGCCAGAACTGTAGTTCCCAGCATTCAATTCTGCCTCCACAGACCACATATTATAGACCCAGATTCCAGCTCCTCATGCCCACATTCTTGGTTTGGAAGAACAGTGGTCCTTATCGGGACTTTCAGGCAGGAAGTTCTGTAGAAGAAAGTTTTTTAAATGTGGGCACTTTAGAGATCTGTGAGAAAATAGCAAGGCTTTTTAGCCTGAAGGCTCGCACTACATTGGGCATACTGACTGAACGCTTTCTCCCTTGATTTTTCAATGGTGGGAGTCAATTCTGGGCCTGAATGTTATGTTCAGGGAACACTAAGCACTGAGCAGTGAGACCTACACAGTGGGCTGTTCCACTACCCACCTTACCTAAAAAAAAAAAATTTCTTCCTCTAGGCTGCCTAGTTCAGACCGAGAAGTTCCAGTTGGTTGTAGAGAGGGATGTCAGAAGCAACTTCCCATCCTGGAGGGAGCTGAGCATGACTGGCTTCATCCAAAGGCAGCAGGCCAGGTGGAATTTTTAGGGCCGAATGCATACTCCCAAGTCTCTGAGGAAGGGGAAGTGGTGCACAGAGTGGAATACTAAGTAAAGCGCAGAACCCCCAGCGCTTGCCTTGCTGATAATGCTATTCCTCCCCTCTCCTGGCAGAGTCTATGTCCAAGTCTTCCTGGATGATGCCCTAATTCTGCCTGTGTCCAGACCTCTCCGTCACTCAGCCACTTCTTTAAGGCTACGTCGGACAGAACCTACCCACCCAGACACACCTCACATAAGACAGAGCCGGCTGTTCTTGCTGTTCCACAAAGAGGCCCTGATGAAGCGGAACTTTTGTGCCCCTCCAGGAGCTAGCCTGAAGGTGCCCAAGCCCACCTTCAGTTTCTATGTGTCGGGAAGCTGGCTTGGGGGCACCCAGAGGAAGGAGGGGACTGAATGGGGCCCACCTGAACCCCAGGGAGATGAGAACAAGGATCAGAAGGTAAACTTGGACTTCAAGGACCTATGGCCTGCTCCTGTGCCCCATCCCCTGACCAAGATCCCAGCTTCCTGCTCTTTGTCACAGATTCTCCTCATCTTCTTTGGCTCTTCAGTCCGCTGGTTTGAATTCTTGCACCCAGGGCAAGTGTACCGAGTTGTGGCTTCAGGACCCCCTGTGAGTACCTTCCTTCATCAGACTCTTCCTCATAAAGCTTTATTGCCTTGAGGTTCAGAGAGAGAGAACCAGTGTCTGGTTACACTCTTGAATTGCTGGAATAAGGTTGGGATTAAAGAACATAGAAAAGCTATGTCTAGATCACTTCTTTTACAAAGCTCCAGGAATCAAGCAAACTTGGGCCTCCCTCCCTTAGGGATTTCAGGAGCCTCCCTACAGACCAGAACACACACAAAAACCATTGTCCTTCACAGACACCAACACTGTTCAAGGAGGGCGGCCCATCCTGTGCATCTCAGCGGCCTATGGAGCTGGCTGGCTGTGCGTCCTGCCTCACTATCCAGGATGAGTGGACCCTGGAGCTTGGGTGCTCCGGTGACATCCCAGATGTGCCAGATACAAACAAGGCGCTTCCTGAATCCTCCCTGAGTGACATCCTCGCTGACAAGTAATGCCACGCTCCTCTGGCTGATTGAGTTTCTCCCTCTTCTCACTGGGATTAAGCTTGATGAACCTGTTTTCTGCTAACATATTTATTTATTGTGTTTTGTCTTGTAGAGGAACGATGTCAGTACAAGATAGAGTCACGTTTCATACCTGATCTTCCCACAGCGTATATTAGTTTTGGAATGATCACGTTCAAGCTTTCTGATAGTTAAAGAACCCATTCCAAACCCATTGCCATTGAGTCAATTCTGATGTGCAGAACCCTCTAGAACAGAATACAATTGTCCCAGTGTCCCCAGGCTATGACGTCTTTATGGAAGCAAACTGCCTCTCTTTCTCCTTTAGCAGCTGAGTGCTTAACCACTGTGCTATCACAGCCCCTGCCACAGTTAAGACATTGTTCTTAACAAAGAAGGACCTTTTAAAGCTGCTCTGAAGGAGGGGGTTGTGAGCCCAGAATATAATGATGAACTCACTCATTTAAGCAGAGTGGAAATTTAACTGTGCTTTGGAGCTCTGGTGGCCTAGTGGTAAGGAGCTGCACCACACTTCCAAAGGCTGGTTGTTCAAATCCACCAGCTGCTCCGCAGGAGAAAGATGCCCAATCTGTCTCCTCTGGTGTGGTTTAGTGCTTCTGACAACCCGCTGGAGGGTCAGCTGTGGGTCAGCTCTGACTAGAACAGCAAATGAGCCAAGAGAGCTCTGGTGGCACAGGGTAGGAGATTAGGGCAAGGTTCAGAGCTCTTGTTCAGAAGGGCGCTGTGAGTCGTAGGCAACTCCATGGCACCTAACGACAGCATGATTTTTTTGTTAAGAACTCGGGCTACAACGTTGTATAGCTTTTTCCAATGACCATACCTTTCCCAGAGCCCTGTTACTTTTACTGTTTCAGTCGTGCAGTGGAGCATGGGGTTTTTCAGGCCCTCATATATGATGTTCTAGCAAAAACTCCTATCCTTTTGCTCTCTATTTTTCAACCAGACTCTCCATGCTCTGCTTTCTCATGCCTCCACTCTTGGTGTATTTATCTGACTCACCAGCTTCACAGATGCCTTGGTGTCTTTCTCAGCTGAAATTTTGTCACGGACACTATGCAAGCCACTTCTAGCCCCGCTCCAGACAAAGCCAGGTAATGACACCTTTTCAGGAAGTTGTGAAGTGGAACCAGGGGTCCTTGTGTCTGAGTTCCCTCTCTTCAGCAGAAGAGAGCATTGGAGCTTCTAGGAGGTGTGTGAAGCTGACCGTCGCTCTGCAGACAAATGCCTGTGAGTTCCGCCCTCACCTGAGCATATACATCGAGGACCCACACCTGCCTCCGCCGCTCGGACTCCTCCCTGGAGCTCGCGTCTATTTTAAACAGCTGGAGAAGAGGCTTTCCAGGTGAAGGGCAAGTTTGAAAGATTGCCTCTTTTCCCCACTAATGTGGTTCTTTTAAAACAATTTTTAACATTTGATTGAGATGAGATACATGTGACAAAGCATTTCCTCCGCTTTTGCATGTTGGCCCTGTTGCATGACCCTTGCAGTTCTTGTCCCACTTGCTCCCACTTCCCCATGTTGCAGTGAAGCTTCTCTTGGATACAGCTTTTCATATGTTTGTCCGACTTTTGACTCTCCTCCTCCTCCGTCTGCATGAGATGCCTTGGACTAACCTTTCTCTTCTCAAGCTGGCCTCCAGTCCTTGGGAAAGGGTCAAGTCTGTGGTACCTGTCTCTGAAGTCTCAGCATTAACTCTGATTTGATTTTTCCTCCCCTTCTAATCATTGCTCTTCCCTCTTCACATGCAGATCCCACAATGTTTACTGTTGTTTCCGGTCATCCACTTATGTGCAGGTCCTGAGCTTCCCCCCAGAGGCCACCATCAGGTCAGTGTCAGGTCTTGTCCCTGACTTCCCTGCCTCACACCACATGGCCCTGGCTCAGCAGCTTTTCACACATTTGCAACATTCCCTGATCCTTGCCCAGTGTACTGACTCAGAACTCTTTCCTCTCTCCCAAGTGAAAATGTCATTTTGCTTAGACCTAGGCCTTGCCAGCTTTGTATTCCAAAGTGGAAATAATGTGAATCTCTCTCAGCTCCTATTTCTTAGAGACCAGCAATCAGAAATAGGGCTCATGAGGGATTCCAGAAAAGTACTGGTACCCGTTGCTGACCCTCTCCCCATTCCTGTTGTTAACCCCATCCAAACACACCCTGGTTTGGCTATTTCTTGACCCATATCTCTCTCTCTTGTTCTTTCTCTAGCGCCCACTTGCCCCACATCTATTTGGCTGAACTCTTGCAGGCTCACCAGGCCCCATTCCAGGCTATTGCCTCTTGTCACATCGTTTCTGTCTTCAGCCTTCAGCTCTGCTGGGTGTGTACTCACTGTACCAGCCTCTGTACCCAGGTATGTGAGGAGATCGACTGAGCTGGGTGCAGGGTGCTAGAGGGATGTGATGGAACTGAGAGGATTTTCCCAACTATTTTCTTCCTCCCAGGGGAGGTGCACTCAACAAGGCTCCTCCTGCCCTACCCAGACTTCTGTGAGCCAGGCCAGCCTCAGGTGAGAGCATAAGCTGGACTCCCTTTGCACCATTTATTTCCCAATTGATTATGTGATTTGCCATACTGTATTAGTGTTATGTGCCATCAAGTCAGAACTGACTCATAGTTGACTCTAGCAGGCAACGCACGCAAGAAGAGATTGCCCATGAATTTGAACTGCATTCCTTAGGCTTGGTAGCACAAATCCTTACCATTAAACTACCTCTGAAAAAATGGAGACTTTCTGTCATGTTACCCCTGTTGTTTTGTACCATTGATTGAGTCAGAACAGATCCATACCCTCCAGCAGGTTTTCAGAGGTATTTTAATTGCATGGGAGCTTACCCATCCTTTCCTGTGGTGCAGCTGGTGGGTTCTAACCATCAGGCTTGGGGATTGCAGTACAGTTTCTTGCCACTAAGCCACCAGAGCTCCCTCTTCTCACCCCTATACTAGCATAATTTATGTTTCTTGGAAATTGTATAGTAAGTATTGTTTAATTAATGTGAGAGTAAAGTGATCTAAAGACTGGAAGCAGCCGGGGTAGGACACTGGCCACTGGGTTTGCTATGGGCCTTGGTAAATATTTTTTCCCTGACTCTATCCCCTAGTTGTTGTTAAGTGTCAGCAAATAGTGATCCTGTAAACAAAAAACCTTAACTCTATAACTATTGTTATAAGTACTATAACTATTGCCCTCTCTCTAAGTTCATAGAATTTCCTCAGACATGTTTAGGAAGTGGATGCCACTCCTGCTTCCAAGCTTGTCTTAACTGGTGAGCTCTACTAAACATTGTCATCCATGTATAACCATGATGGCATTGGAGTTGGGTGAAGTGGCTGGACTCCCTAAGATGGTGCTTTTGTTTTGGTTGAGGCTCTGTGTGGATTGTGTGGTTGTTGTGTTGTGTTTTGATTTTGTTTTAAATAAGATTCTTGTTTAGAGTCAACAAGACCTCCTGGAGGGCCCTTATATTTAAAAGTTGGGCCCAAGGGATTCTATTTTCATCCCTTGTTACTATACTTTGGAGGAACATTCTTCCAAGTCACACAGCACTCTGGTCAGTTTGCTGTGCTGAGGTAATCTGGGTTTGCTGTGACCTTGTGCCATTGGAGTCTCAAATACTATAATGGAATAGTGGTGCCATAGGTGTGCGAAACACCATAATGGCAACCCATTGTGGGCAGTGTTTGGTGGAGCTCCCAGATTGAGTGGCATCCACTTCTAAATCTCATGCCTCTGGGAACTCTATGAACTTGGAGAAACGACAATAGTTATCAAAAGTCTTCAGGCCTTTTGTTCATAGGGTCACTAAGAGTCATGCTCGACTGGTGGCAATCAACAGCAACAACTATCCCCTAGAGGGAGCTCTGGGGGCTTAGTGGAAAAAAGCTGCACTGCAATCTCAAAGGCATGAGGATCAAGGCCACCAGCTGCTCTGCAGGAGAAGGATGGGCAATCTCCTTCCATGTGATTAACTACATCTGAAAACCTCCGCTAGAGGTTCAGCTATGTAAGGGTTGGTTCCAACTCTACAGTACACAACAACAACTATCCCCTAGGCTCCTGGTAGAAGATGGGACTGCTGAAGCTGTGGTGAACTGTAGGGATCATCATGTGGCAGCAGCACTAGGACTGTGTCCTAGTGAGTGGACCGCCCTCCTCGAGTGTGTCCGAGGGCCAGGAAAAGTGGTCTTGCATTTTACAGGGCCTGGAGCCCAGCTGGAGGTGAGATGTGACTGGGAGTTAAGCTCAGAGACCCAGATTTCTGGAAGTTTGATAGAGGCTTTGAAAGTTTGAGTTCTGATTAATCTCTAGTTTTCCTTTATAGTCGTCAGCCAAGACTGATAGGCCTTTGACCCTCTTCCTTTGGACACTCTGTAACAGCCTCTCTGTTTTCCGTCCTATTACACTTGCTTTTGAGCTTCAGAGGAAACCTTCCAAGACCCTCCCACTAGGTAAGTGGAAGTAGGCATTAGGTGGCTCCAAGGGAGGAGAGGGACCAGGCTCTGGGCATCTCTGGAGCTGGGGAGGAGATTGGAGAGTGGAACTTAAACAATATACCTGAAACGTGTTTTTTCTCTCTTCCCATTTTAGAACCTCCTCAGCTAAAGCGTTTCCATTGTGGGGACCTCCCTCTCCTGACACGTGTGAATCCCAGACTTCAGCTGTCATGTCTTTCTATTCAGGAGCCAGAAAACTTCAACTCTCTGGGGGTCTTTGCCTCTTCTTGTTAGACTGAATTGCAAGAAAGGCCTAGCTTCTAGCTCTTCCTCTTTGTTGTGACCCCTGCTCTCTCTGTAATTGAGCCAGGAGCCCAGATGCTTGGGTTCACAGAGCTACCTCACTATAATTTCTCCTCTTTGGTCCCAGATGAGGGACCTAACATTGTGGAGTAAGCCTGCCTTGTAGGAGAAATTGTGGAAACACAAATCATGGGGATGTTACAGGTCCTCTGTGGTTTGAGTCAAGGCACCTAAAAGTTCTGCCTTTGCGGGCAGGAGCCAGAAAAACAAAAAACTTGCACCTCAGGGGGTGCCTGTGATAGAGGCTTGGCCTACAATAAAACTCTCCAGAGAAATTTCTCACTTGGGTTCATTTCTGGGGTCCAGGGTTTCCAGACTGCCCAGCAGCCATCCCGTTACTGTTCCTTTATAATTATAACTTTATAAATAATAAAAATATATATATAACTTACTTTGTTTTCCATTGTTGCTGTTATTCTCATTTTTGCTCTAATTTGTCACTAGTGCCAGAGATGGAAAGGTGTTTGGAGATCAGGTACAATATTTGCCTTCAAAGAGCTTCTGGTACAAGGTCAAGAACCTTAAGGTTTTAAGTTAGGGAGAGATTGGTTGTGGTGCATTCTGTCAGCAAAGTTGGCTCCTGAAAGAAGTGAAACATGAAAGCCTAGTTAGTGGGAAGCACAGGATACGTGTATGAGGAAGAGAGCAGCAACCCAGGAGGGCCACATGAGGACAAGGTGACTCTACACGGTATGAACCCCAGTCAGGAGTCAGTGCTGGGGATCTCCCCCCAGAATTCTAAGGACAACACCAAGATACCTGTGAAAAGTACTGAGTCAGAACCCACAGAGATTACAGACTAAGAAGCAGAGCTGGCTATCCACTTCTCAAGTAAGGGGCCCTTAAAAACTTCAAGAATAGAATTGGAATATTGTCTGACATAATGCCAAAAAGGAGCCCCTCTAGTTCTAAGAGACCCAAAATGTAACTGGGAAACAGGTACCTTCTTAAAGCAGGCCTTTTTTTTTTTTTTAAATTTTTTCTGTGTGTACCGTCAAATCAGACTTGACTGGTACAGGAAGAGATTGTTCCTCCCTCTCCAGCAGAGCATCTAGTGGGTTTGAATCGTGCACCTCTGGTGTTGCAGTACACCTTCTTGCCACTAGGCCACCAGAGCTCACCTAAGTACCCCACTTTAACATCATGAACCGTGTAAAGCATCCATCCAGTGAAGGACCTTTATTTCCTCGAGTTGACATTGGGCAAAATTACAGAAACAACTGTAGACATCAGTTAATAATTGAAATGTGTCATGTATGAAGTATAAATCTAGGAAAATTGTAAGAAATAAAACTGAATACCTGAAGATAATGAAATATACGATAGACTGCCAAAGAACAAATCTGCCTTGGAAAAAGTGTAGCCAGGGTGCTGCTTAGAGGCAAGGAGGGTTGTGACTTCTCACATAATTTGAAGATTAAATCAGAAGGGGCCAATCCTTGAAAACAGTCCATCATCCTGAAAAAGGAGAGGGTCAGTGAAGGAGAAGATAAACAACAGAGAGATTGGCACAGTGACCACAACAATAGGATTAGGCAAAGTTTGCACCTGTTGTGCTTGGGATACCTATGATTTGGAGCAATTGTCTGATGTTTCCCCATTTCTTTCCTGGGTGGAGGAGAGTTGAACCCCAGCTCTTGGAGCTGTTCAGAAGACATTGGTTCTGGTTTGCATGGGGAGGTCTCTGCAGTACCGTCAAACCAAGGTAGCAACATTACTTTTTTACATTGACATAGACAAACAGGGTGCAACCAGGCTGCTTTTAGGAGACAAGTATTCTGAGGCTTCGTCTGACATTCTTTGGGCGTGTTGCAAGGAGGAACGTCATGCGTGGAGAGGGACAACATGCTTGGAAGGGTGGTGGATGGACAGTGCAAGAGAGGAATACCCTGGATGAGAGGGATTGATTCAGTGACTGGGGTAATTGGGGCAGGTGTGTCAAAGACAGTGAAATTAGCTTAAAATAGAGCGGGGTTCAGAGCTGTTGAACATAGGGTATAGCACAATAAAGCACATAACAATGAATTGTGCCGCTAACTCAAAGACCACGCCTTCCTGGTGGTTCTAATCCATTACCAGTGGCTCCTAAAGGAGAAAGATCAACGTTCTGTTCTCTTTTGATTTCCAGCCTTAGAAACTGCAATGCAGTCATTCATTGTTGCACCCCTCGCCCGGCCCCCCCCCCCCCCCCCCCGTTTGTTCCTCTCTTTCAAACGCAAAAGAAAAACTCCCTCATTGGTACGCAATCCCCCACACACAGACCCAAACCCCCAAATATAATCCACTCTGCAACCCTCATTCCGTACTCTTACGATAAACATAATGCCCTAAAATAGAAAATATTCTCTCCCCCAAAGACTTCAATGCTGTAAACGTATTTCATCCAGTTTTTCTCAGTCTTACCCCCATCCCGAAGCCAACCTCATTCTAC